AAAAATATATAAAATTGATGTGGGTACTCAAATGAAAAGTCTTGATGAGTGTATCATCAAGATGAGCTTATATCTTTAAAAATGTCAATAGTTCAAAAAGTACAGGGCATTTTAACAAATATCTTGTGAACTATTGACATTTTTAAAGATATAACCTCATCTTGATGTTACACTCATCAAGACCTTTCAATTAAGTACCCACATTAATTTTTCATATATTTTATATATTTATATATTTTATATATATATATGTATATATGAAAAATATATCAAAAATGCATGTGGGTACTCAAATGAAAGCTCTTGATGAGTGTAACATCAGGATGAGCTTATATCTTTAAAAATGTCAATAGTTCACTAGATACAAGGTAATTTCTTAATAATTACGCATAAATTTTGAATACTAATTAAAACTATTAATCAGCAGAATACATATCGCTGGAAAAAAGAAAAGACCCACCAGACAGCAGCGGCGGAGAAACGAAGGCGTCTAGTAGCGACCTCGCTGGTGGAGTTATCGGTGGCGCCACTGTAAACTCAACCTCCCAGGGCAAAGGAACCAAGCGCTCGCGCAGATAGTAAGTATTTCAAAAAATTAGCTTATTCTTAACAATATTAATGACATTAAAATTAGCAGTCACTTTAATTTTTTTTAACAAATTTGTTTAAAAAAATTATTAAATATCTGTTAAATTAATTTTCATAAAATATTATTGTAAAAAAACAAGAGAGGAAGACAACGCTGTTGTCTTCCTCTCAAGTTAAATGTAATTAGTTGTGACAATATAAACTAACTTGCTGTGTCTTTGAACAACTGTTGTTCGAGCGCCGACGAAGACTGCGATGATCCTGGCACCAAAGCGGTGCGTGAAAAAGAACGTCGTCAAGCCAACAACGTTCGCGAAAGGTTAGTGAACACACGCAGTACGCTCAGAAATTAAAACAATACTCCAGTATAAAACGTTGGCAACTCACTAAATATTAAATATTAATTTTAACTATTATTTTGTTTTATTTTAGACCCACTACACTGAATTCGTCTTCTAATTATTGTCATTATATGTTTCATTATTTATTTCAGTTCATCTGTTTTTTTTTTTTTTTTTTCTTCTTACTAATCATTTATTATAGGATCATCATTTATTTCATTGTCATCAGGATTAATTCTAATTGAAGTTTTAGAAATGCAAAAATTACACTCAAGAATTTTTTTTTTAAATTTATAACAATTAAATTATTAAAAAAAATTAATTAAAAAATTCTAATTAATTAGTTAAAAAATTTATTGTAATTAATTTTTAATAAGAATTGATACTTTTACTTATTTTTCTTAATTTTTAGTAAAAAAATTACAGCTGAAAACATTTTTTTAGGTTAGTTTTATTACTAAAAATTATCACCTGGCGCCATCTGTTTTTTTTCTTTTAGTAAACTAAAATTATTGGTTTAGACTTAAATATAAAAAAAAAAGTGACTTGAGTGTAATTAAAAAAAAATTTCACGAATTCAGTAAAAGAATACGGGCTTAAAAATTGACATCACCTGCGTGTGTTCAATTATTAAATTAATAAAATCGTAAGTTTTGAGTTGGAGCTCGAAAGTTGTTCACTTTGCTAACCTAAAAAATCAAAGATAATAATTATAAGATTTAACCTGGGTTAAATCAGGTAATTAATCGAGTATTGTTATTACAAAACTGTTGTTCGAGCGCGGAGGACGAGGATGATGATCCTGACGTCAAGGCCCAGAGGGAAAAAGAAAGAAGGCAGGCTAACAATGCAAGGGAAAGGTAAGCTCCGGAAATTCAGGGCTTGAGCAATTACTTAAGGGCCCGTATTCTTTTTTTATGATAATATTATTTGAGTTTGCCGACTTTTGATATTGGACTGATATTTTATTTTTTGTCGATTGGTATTTTATTTACTGAGTTTGTTCTTAGGATACGGATCAGAGACATCAACGAGGCGCTCAAGGAGCTCGGGAGGATGTGTATGACACACCTCAAGACGGACAAGCCTCAGACCAAACTTGGGATACTTAATATGGCTGTTGAGGTTATAATGACTTTGGAGCAACAAGTTAGAGGTAATTTTTTTATTAAATTGCACTGTACTTTTTTAAATATTGACTTTTTTGAAGATATAAGCTGATCCTGATGATACACTCATCAAGAGCTTTCATTTGAGTACCCACATGCATTTTTGATATATTTTTCATATATAGATATATATAATATATATAAATATATGAAAAATTGATGAGGGTATTCAAATGAAAGGTCTTGATGAGTGTAACATTAGGATGAGCTTATATTTTTAAAAATGTCAATATTTTACAAGATAGGTCATTTCTTAATTATGTATCTAGAGATAAATTTTTGAATACTTCCTCAATCAATTGAATATTTATTAAACAATTTTTTTTCAGAGCGAAATTTAAACCCAAAAGCAGCTTGTTTAAAAAGAAGAGAAGAAGAAAAAGCTGAAGACGGTCCAAAATTACCAGGCCACCTAGCGGCTCACATAGGTCATCCACATTCGCATCCTCACGCCCATTCACAGCCGCCATTTTCTACAATGCCCGTAAGTACCACCCGCCATTTTGTCGTCCGTTTAAACAACTATAAGATGCTAATGAAGATATAATTTTCAGGGTCCTCCACCATCACTCCAACACAATCAAGTCCAGCCGCAGTAGCAGAGGTTAAACGACGGCATCGTCCTTTGTTAAATAATAATAAAATAAAAAATAAAAAAGAGTGCAGTTCGTGTTCGCCTGTAAGAGACTTAAACACGTAAATATCAAGACTCGGGTATCAAAGCGATCCCACGTTTACTTAAATAAGATAATAAAAGTTATATATAAACATATATATGAATATGAACGAAAGAGTATATATTAAAAAAAAAAAAAAAAAACAAATATATACAATATGTATAAAATTTAAAATAAGCGTCGTCGCGACGGAAATATGACCCGGTGATGGTTAATCTGGCGAATCAAATGTGTGCTAGAGGGTGCTCTTTTGTTCTTATTAATCTAGTTTATTGTATATTATTTCTTATAAATATTGATATAAATTGGAGGAGTTTCCTAACGGGTCCACATTACGGTAGAATGCAATTAACTTAATAATTACAGTATGCCATTGTATTTTTACGATTAAATACCGCAATTACATGGTAGAATACGGTTAAACTACCACAATACCGTAATCGACAGTAGCTATACGATAGATCTACCATATTTTAACCGTATAATATTGTAATCGACGGTAGCTATACGGCAAATCTATCGTATAACTACAGTTAGTACAGATAGTTATCTTAATCTAACTATACGGTTAAACTACCACAATATTGTAATCTAACGTAGCTATATGGTAGAACAACAGCAAACTACGATAGCTATACAGTAAATCTACCGTATAACTATCTTAAACTAATTATATCGAAGGATAACGTCAAACTACCACAATATCGTTATCTAAGGTAACTATCCGGTAAATCTATCGTACTGCTGCCGTAAATCTATCGTATAACTATCTTAATCGTAATCATATCGTAGAATACGGTTGTTTTACCGCAATACTGTAATCTATGATAGCTATACGGTAAATTCTACCGCACTATCATAATCTAAGATAGCTATATGACAAAACTATATTGTATTTTTATCTAATTATATCATCGGAAACGATTAAACTACCGCAATACTGTAATCTACTGTAGCTATCCGGTATATCTATCGTATTTTAATCGAATAGCTATTTTAAACTATTTTTATCGTCGATTACAGTAAAACTATCACTATAACATAATCTATGGTAGCTATACGGTTAAACTACCATATTTTAATCGTATAGCTATTTTAAACTATTTATATCGTCGATTACGATAAAACTATCGTTATAACATAATCTACGGTAGCTATACGGTTAAACTACTATAATATCGTAATCTAAAGTAGCTATCCGGTAAATCTATCGTATTCTAATCGTATAGCTATCTTGAACTATTTATATCGTCGATAGTTTTGGTAAAACTATCGCTATAACATAATCTATGATAGCTATACGATTAAACTACCGCGATAGTATAATCTAAGGTAGCTATACTGTAAATCTATCGTACTGCTGTCATAAATTTACTTATTGTAACCTATTTAGGTTGTAAAATACAGTGAAACTACCATAATACCCTAATCTACGGTAGCTATACGATAAATCTACTGCACTACCGTAATCTAAGGTAGCTATCCGATAAATCTACTATATTTTTATCATCTAGCTATCTTAGAGCTGTTGATATTGAAGCTATACGGTAAATCTACCACACTATCGTAATCTAAGTTAGCTATCCAATAAATCTATCGTACTATTGCCATAAATCTACCGTAATTTGAACCCGCTAGGATAATTAAATAATTGTGCAGCTATCACGCACAATCTGTAATTGGAACCAATTGGGATAGACCGTTTATAAATAATGGTAATAATAATTCTAATAATTATTAAACAAATACCGATTGATTTGTTTTTTATAATCATATCGGGATCTAATGACAATAAATAAGTATTATTCATATTGTATGTTATTATGAATAAACGGGACTCCTGATACTAGACAGGTTTTATTTCAATAGTAATTTTCTTTTTTTTTTTTTTAAACATATCAATCAGAATTTTATTTCCGGGGATGAATTTTAATTAGTGGGATTTCGAGTGGAAGTATTGGATGATTATCTGAAATGGTTAAAAAAAAAAAAAAAAAAAATTATTGCGCACTCGAGTGAAAAATTACGCTTCGATCAAGAGTTGAGTTTTTATTTGCCGATATTAAAATAAAAAAAAAAATAACTAATGGAATAAAATAAAAATATTTAAAATATCGATATATATATATATATATATATATATATATATATATATATATATATATATATAA